AATGAGATACAGAGAGCATGAGAGGGAAGAGGGTCAGAGGGAGAAGCAGACTCCCTGCCGAGCAGGGAGCCCGATGTGGGACTCGATCCAGGGACTCCAGGATCATGACCTGAGCCGAAGGCAGTCGCTCAACCAACTGAGCCACCCAGGCGCCCTTCAGGAGAGAATTTAACTTACTCATCTTTGTATCTCATCTAGCGGTGCCTGCCACACTGCAGGCAGTTAGGGAATGCTTCATGAAGGAAAGAGAATATAAAGGGATTGTATCTTTCCATGTGACTGGGTGTAATTAAATTGATCCTATTAAGTCTTTATATTCTGAGTCTACCTGTGCCCCTCTAAGGTAGGCGTGAGTTTTTCTGCATTGTGTTCAAGTGTCTGAGTATGCCTTCCCCTTTGAACAGATATCAATAATGAGGGTATGAAGTAATCGTCACCACCCCCTTTTCCCTAATTCAAGGCTACTTGGAGAAACTACAGAATCGATCTTTATTTATGAACAGTCAGAGCGACTTCTAATTATTCCTATTAATAACGACGCCAAGAGTCCGCCGCACACTTATACATGCACAGCCCTGACGTAGGATTCTTAAATCCTGACCACCACGGGGTCACAAGCGTGTGCCCGGCCCCCAGACTCCTCCAACTTGTTAAATGCCAAACCTGTCTTGGTCCCAGTCTGTGAGTGCCCGAAAGCGCACCTGAGGCTGGAGATGCTTACCCTTTACTCCCCCTTCTTTTTCAAATCAGCCACCATAGGCCACGGCCACACCACACTTTATTTCTAAGCGAATCTCGGACAAATCTTGAAGCATATTCTATGCAAGGGGACAAGGGCCGCGCGCACTGCAACGTCTGTTCCGCGCCAACGGTGGCCACGTGCCCTCGCGCGCTCCCGGACCGCCCCACACACCCCCTCCGCGCCCGCGCACGCGCGCCGGGACCGCGACAATCCCTACAGCCTTCCGCGCGCTTCCGCCTTCTTCCTAGCAACGCCCGTAGAGACACGCAGGCCCCGCCCCCTCCTGCGCACCTCCCGGAAGTGGCCGACCCCGAGCGAGAGCCCGGTCCTGCGCGGTCCCTGGCTGTTCTGAGAGGTAGTCTCCGGGCGGCAGGGTCCGGCTGGGAGAGAGCGTCCGGGCGGGGGCTGCACACTGACGAGCGCGGCGCGGAGCGAGACCTGGTGACGATGGCGGGGCCGCTGGCGCTGCAGCTGGAACAGTTGTTGAACCCGCGCCCGCGCGAGGCAGATCCTGAGGCCGACCCAGAGGAGGGTGAGGCCTGACTGGGAAAAGGCCACGTGCGGAGCGGTGGGTCCGGCCCAGGGCAGACCCTGGCGGCGCGAGCGGGGTCGGCAGCCAGGCCTCGGCGCCTGGCCTACTCGGCTCGACCCTGGCGCGGAGGAAAACAGCCTCCCAGGAGGGTTGCCCCGGGCTCGGGAGGAGGGCTTCGGCTTCTTCCTGACCCGCACGCTAGACTTGGTGCTCGGGTGGGCGGAGCATCCCGGCCACTCAGTCTTCCAGGGCTGTTGCAGGGAGCTCGGGTCTGGTAGCTGGCTGGAAGTTATCTTTCAGGATGCCCTGACTGGTATTGAGTTAGAAATGAGAAGAAGTCTCAGCCGTTTTTTAAGTCGGCCTGCCCCTAAGAACTTACTTGGAGAGTGAAGGAAGAAGTGGGTTTCCGTGGTGCTGTTAAGCCCCCTTAGGCCTCAAGACACTTGCTCAGGGGCTGACTGACTGAGACTGCTGCTCTGTAAGTTGGTGTTCAAGGTCTAGTTGGGAGTAATCCTGCTTTAGACTTGAATCAGAGAAGTGTGAGGAAGGAAGAATAAGGAAGGATAAATATGAGTGCTGGATCTTGTCTTAGGAATATCAGTTGAAGGAGCTGAGGTCTTGAGTCAGGATAAGCAAACTCCCTTAGGGATGGGATGGAGTGAGGATAGATGGCTGACTTACAATATTTGAGTGACTGTCACAAATGAAGAGGAATTAGGCTCGTTTTTATGATCCAAGGCATAGAAATATGTCCTACTAGTAGTGCAGAGGTCAGCTTTCTGTTCAGGAACAGCAGTAAGGTAGTGGTCTATCTTGAGAGGTGATGAGTTTCCTCTTCCTGGAAGTTGGTTGGGGTTTTGTAGAGTATGAGTTAAAAGGGTTGGATAGGGTTACCATTAAAGTTCCTTCTAACCTGGAGATTCTGATTACTTTCCCCCCTCCCCTGCAGCCACTGCTGCCAGAGTGATTGACAGGTTTGATGAAGGGGAAGATGGGGAAGGTCATTTCCTGGCTGTGGGTAGCATTAGAAAACTGGCATCAGCCTCCCTCTTGGACACAGACAAAAGGTATTCTGGCAAGGCTACCTCTAGAAAAGCTTGGAAGGAGGACCATTGGGAGCAGACTCTGCCAGGTTCATCTGGTGAGTAGACATTTGCATGGTACTTTTTCTTTCCTA